CGGGCCTATCGCGTGCCACACCTCTTGCTTGACCCTGATGACGATACACATTGAGCAGTGTATACATTATAAGTGCTTTGAAAATGCTCCGATTTGTTGACAAGCGACGAAAATAGAAGCGATATGCGATGTGATAGAAAGAAAGCAAGTTTGGGCGAACGCGACGAGAGGAGCAACAAAGACGGCTTACTAAGGAAAAAACACCACTTTGCATGACATTTTATTACATTTTCAACACACAGCATGTCACAACTTCCCTCACTTTTGCAAATGTCCCACATTCGATGCTTGAACGTTTCCAAAGCGTTGATAAAAGATAAGAGCGAACACCACCAAGGACAACCCTATCTTATCGCGATAAGCTCAGGCAATTTCGTATGTGGCTTCCTCAAAGATACATGCGACTTGCCACTGCTTACATGAGAGTTTATTCTACTTTGTTTCCAGTAATTTGTTATTAGTCCACCTCTTTACCGGGCTTGCAAACAGAAAAAGCTACTTGATGCAAGTGGAATCAACAGACAAAACTTGGAGCAAAGAAACTCTCAACACCTTTAAATTTGAGATAAATGATAATGTATTATTATGATTGGACAGCAGAGTAAGAAACATGTGATCTTTACTTTGTATTTAGCTGTAACTTTTTATGAGACAAAATCGTTTCATGTTATTAATCATCAACCGTTCATGTAATTTCCTTTGACACCCTGTTAGCATTTGAATGAATGGGAATGACTAATAGATTATTTTTCTTTGCCTTCACGGTATTCCTTGCCACATTCGAGAAAAGATGCTGCTGAAAGCAGTTGCTACTTATTTCAGTTTGCTTCACTTTGGTTTCTGCTTGTGGATGCGTTCATAAGCTGGTTTATAGGCATATTCTTAGAATAGAGCAACCTATTTTCACAAATAAAAACTGATAATTCAAGGACAAGACTCTTTGTTTCTTCAAGTGCTCTTACTTGCTTATCAGATGTAACCAATTTTTTGAGAAGAAAATGCTATCGCATGGCACTTTTCAACTTTTTCAAAGATCTCATTTCCGGAAATTGGAAAAGGGTAATTTTTTGCTGGCTTTTGTGGTATTTGTTCCAGTCATCTTGAGGGAATACACTGTTATGTTTCACCAAAGGACAAGCTCTAGACCCCCATCTGCACAAGGTTTATATCCTCTCCTCAATTTGCCTTACACTGTTCATCGACTGTATAGAACTAGAAGTGGCATATATGTACGTAACAAGGTATCTGCTAACGGTCAACCAGCGTTTCGAAACTGGAAAGGACAATTAGACTAAGCATGCCATCCCAAAAACATAGGCTATTGTTGCAAACGGTCACGACTCTACAGAAATGCGCAGATCTATTCTGGATCATATACCAAACGTATTCCCTTACATTTCTCAATCATCTACGTTGCCAGAAAGGCTGAACTATGTGGAGGCAGACTATCCACGTTACTTGATAATCTTGCTGTTTTTCTCACGGTTTTCTGTGAAGTTGTAGTAAAAAGCTGTGGGGTGAATCTCATTCAGCTTCTTATGCTTGCAGAGATGGGTCGCATCCAAGGAGTTGTTCTAATAACAGGCGCAAATCGTGGGTTAGGACTGGAAATGACTCGATCCTTGTTGGCTATGCCTGATGTATGTAGAGTATACGCTGGTTGCCGTCACGAGGAGACACCTGAGGTAAGTTGGAAAGCAATGCTACTTTTGTAATAGATTTTTTGTCAGAAACTTCGCAACTCGAATGATCCTAAAAAGAAACTTCGTATTGTAGAACTGGATGTTTCAAAAGGTTTGTCTGTGACTTACGCAAGCACTCTAATAAAACGGTTTTATTTCTTTGAGGACAATTTCTTTAATATATTGAAGATTTATATAATTTTTTAGACTGGAGTATAAAAAACGCAATAGAGGCTGTTGCTAAGGAAAGCGG